AGGAGTGTCGGCCAACACAACAGATATCAAAACAAAAAATGAAGCAGTTAATCAACTTCGTAGTTATATATCCAGCGGAGCAAAATGGGTCTGTGTCGATGAGACGAGTTGGAGAGTTGGTACAACAGCAGCTTATGGATGGGCAGCACGAGGAAAAGAATGTTTTGTAACCAAAGCAAAAGGAGGAGTGAGGCTGACGTCGATATGTGCTTTGGACTATGACGGCTTTTCGTATTGCAATTTGACTTTTGGCACTAACACAATCGAATCATTCAAAACATATTTCAAATATCTCGTACATGAATATGATTTAAAGGGGCGTCGATGTGTTTTTTGGTGCGACAACTGCGATATACATAATTGTATTCAAAGAGTGCTCGAAGGAACGGGTCATGTCGTAGTTTTTAATGCAGCGTATTCACCTGCACTGAATCCTATAGAAAATGTCTTTGGGCTGTGGAAACGCAGAGTAGAAAAAATATCAGAATTTGGAGAAGTGTTCAAGATTTGCTCGACAAAATAACAGAAGGATTCAAATCGATAAACAGTGAAGAAGCACAAGCAACATTTGAAAATGTTAGAGAGGAAATATGGCCCAAAGTTTTCAACCGAGAAGATATTTAATTTTTCATTGAGTTTTTTTTATGAAATTTGTTAAATAATACTATAATATTTAGTATAAATTATTAAATTTTTAGTACGTTATTTTTGTTAATTTTTGAATTGTTTTAAAAGACTGTAAAAACACAATAACTTATAAAGAAATCAATCCTTTTTCAACGTAAATTTGCCCAATCTTTCAGTAAATACATCCTTTTTTGAGAAATTCTGTCCAAATTTAAAAATTCGATACTTTTTATAAAGAATTCAATCCCATTAATCGAAAATATATCCATTTTAAAGAAATAGCGTCTCAATTATTAGGAATTGTGTCCTTTTATAAGAAAACAAATCCTTTTTATAAATAATCCGATCCCATTTAATTGATTTTAATCCATTTTATTGGGAAATATACCCTTTTCGGATAATCAAATCATTTCTCAAAAAAATCGTATCCATTTTATTAAAAATTATACCCATTTTAGAAAAAACAAATCCTAACCAATAATAATTATATCCTTTCTAAACAAACTTTGACTGTATTATTATTTTAGACTTTATTTTATTAATAGTAAAATAATATTAATAATATAGTATGTAATCAATTCTAAAATTATTTAAATTCTCTTATATATAATAACAACATCAAGGACATAAACACTATGTATCTTCGATAATGATAATAATATAAATACGGGTGATTATACCATTTTTTGTTATAATAATTATGCATTTAATTACAATACTGTCTGATTACACAACATTGTTATATCGAAGTGATAACTTATCGCTATGATTATATCGTGTTTTAGAAAAAAAAACGTGTTTTTATGTGTTATTGTGTCAAAATAATGTCTGTTGAATGTTACTATAATGTATAGAAATTATAATTATAAAACTATTATAAATAAAAATATTAATTTTAACAATTAATTGAATTATTTTAATATATATTATAGTTTAAATTGTTGTCATTGGTTTTAATTGTGCTGTCTTTAAATTTGTGTTTTTTTGTTTTTCATTATCTCTATACATTTACTATATTTTTTTTGTTAGTTGCCCAAAAAAGCATTATTTAAAAATGAATAAACAATAACTGCAAAATAAACAATTATTTACCAAATACAACTCATTGTATTTTAAATAGATTGCATAAAACCAGTTTTGCATTTGTTTTTTGTTTAAAAATAATATAAAATTCAAATTACAAATTATGGATTCATATCTTGCTTCCTCGACAATGACACAACGTGAATTTCAACGAGTGATCACAAAACCTCGTGGTGATCAAATTTTATTTAAATGCGATTATTTTTATTGTTAAAGTTTATTTTATAAATTTTTCTCGATTTTGCGATTTTTGATACTTTTGAAAACGCATTTTGATTATTTTTTGTTTATTTTACACTTATTTTCTTTAAGATTTTTTTTCAAAGTCGGAACAAACAAAGGTGTCTTTACGTCTTATCTTATTTCTTTTACAAAAAAATAGTAAAACCCAATTTTTAAATTTTTGAATTTTTCAAAGTTTACAAAAAATCTATTTAATTAATTTTTAATTGTTTTTGAGATCAATTACATATTGAAATTTCAAGACGCCTCAAAGTCTATGATTGATATTCTTTGTTGTTTTATGATGTAATTGATTTTGAATATTCTGGACCAGTATGTTTTACGATACAGTTTGGTCTTTGTTATATTTTATAATTAATATTATTGTTGTTATAAGTTGTAAACATCTCAATAAATATTTGATCTGACTTTTCCATTGAACTATGACTTGTTTCTGAAAGAATCAAGCAAAAAAGTGAACCTTTGTTCGTCCCAACTTCAACAAAATATTCACTTTTTTACTATAATTTATTACTTTTTACAATAAAATTTACTAAGTCAGTCGCCCCAGGGAAGTTGAAGTAATTAAAGAAATAAAAATCTCATATACTTGAAGAATAACTAAGATTACACAATACCATTATTTTTGGTTTTTAGAGTTCTCAGAGGGTTAATAACGTAGTATATTAAATTAATTAATTTACTAATTAAAAATAGCATTTTCTTATTTTTTATAGCTTGAAACTATGAACAATTCTTAATTTATAATTTCTTAAAATATATTGAAAGAAGAAATTTAAAACTAGTAAAACAACCAAAAACTGTGAATATCAAAATGAGTGGACTTTCATTTGAGCAGTATAAACATACCACCAAATGTAACATTAATTGGTAATAAATGTTTCCGTGGATGTAGTAGTCTGACTAGTATTACAATCCCATCAAACATGATATCAATTGATAATGATTGTTTCAATAGATGCAGTAGTTTAAGCAGTGTTACAATCCCATCAAGCGTGATATCAATTGGTAATTGGTGTTTCTGTGAATGCAACAGTTTAAGCAATGTTACAATATCATCAAGTGTTAGAACACTTGGTGATGGCTGTTTCAATAGATGTAATAATTTGAGCAGTGTTACAATACCGTTAAATGTGACATTAATTGGTTATTGTTGTTTCCCATCAAACAAAGTAGTTCATCGAAGCAAATGAAATAATTTAATTATATTGTTTATTAAAAATTGAAAAAATCGAATTATTTGCTAAATTGGTTTTATCATTTTTTTCAAATGCAAAACCCACAAATAATTATTTTGCTCTCGAACTTTGAATTTAGGTACATTTAAATAAAAATTATAGTTTTATTATAATTAAATAACAACTATATTTTTTATAACACAGTTTTTTTAATGGAAAAAATGGTGAATAGAATTTACTTTACAATTCCATGATAAACCCATAAATAAACATTTTTCTCTGTTTGACAATCCATAAATAGATGCTTTTTACTTTAATTTTAATGATTTTCTTTTTCATAACACATTTTTTTGGTTTAGTAAAAAAGTGAGCAAAGCAAAATAACGATTATCTGATAACATAATATTAAAAAGGAAAATGTTATTTGTTTAAAAACTAAAAATAAAAAACAACAAAATTGATGAAAGGAATCGGGGCAGTGTTGAAAAAATATAATTTAAACGTTTATTAAAATAAAATTATTCAAAGTAAAAATTTGGGAAAAACAGAACAAATTTAAATTGTGAATAAAGTTGAAACAAAGATAGTTCAAAATATTTAAATTAATGGAATTGATAACTATAACTTTTATTGTTTTATTGTGTAAATTGTTATAACTTCATTTTATGTAACACAAATCAAAATTATAATTATTGATTAACATATTATAATTATTATAATTATTGAAATTTTGAAAACAATTCAAACCAAACCCACCATAAGAACAATTCAATTACCCTTTATATTTTTTCGTCCTTTTGAATTGAATTACCATTGATTTTTAAAGATTACGGGTTTATATATTATTAAACTATAATAAAACAATAAGAGTATTAGATTATGATTAATCAAATTATATTAAAATCCAAATCATATTAATTTTAATAAAAATGCCTGTTTGTTTATCCAAAAAGGCATTTATTGTTACATTTCAACTTTATTGAAACAAACAAGTAGCATTTTTGTGTATTGTGTGGCATTGGTTGGTAATTGATTATTCCCAATTTTGTAATTAAAAAAATACCATATTGTTTTATATCTTATTGGGCCCGAAAAACAAAACTTTTGTTCAATGATGAAATAACTATGTTTTACTTTATTAAAAAGTTACATAAAAAGCGCTAATATAATGTCATTATTTTTGTAAAACATTTTTTACAAAAATAATTGTATAAATTATTTCCCAAAAATGTTTGATAGATGGTTTTCTTCTTTACATTTTACAAGACAATAACATAATTACTGACTTTCTGGGACAAAAAACAAAAACACCATCTCAAAAATGTAATAATTATTAAAAAGCGTTTAATTTACCAAAGATTATTTTTAAAAAAGCACATTTATTTATAATTGTGTTGTTGTGACAAAACTAATTATTAATCACCATATTATGTCTGTTTTGGAATCATAGATCGTTTTTCATTTGTAATTGATCAAATCCCAAAATATTAGTATAATCATAAACAAATCAAACAAAATGTTGTTTAGTATATTTATTAAAAAATATAGTATTAAATTTCACTTTAAAAATGGTAAATTTTTATAGGTTTTGTCCATTCTCTTGTTTTTCCCATTGAAAAAAAAATGTAATTTACATTAAAATTATTTACCAAATTATCATTTTTGCCTCAAAATGCTTGTTATTTTGCCATTCCTTTCAGTTCTGGAAACTGTATATATGACTATAGTTTTTAGAAATATGCAAAACTTTTTCCATTTTATAACAATAAATATTATATATTTACTATAATTTAAAACGAACTGGACTTATTTTTATTGACTCATTGTGGTAACATGAAAAATAATTAAAAAAATAATATTGAAAATAAATCAATGATTTAATTCCTCCAGTTTTTCAATAACTTTTCCAATTGGAATTCTATCTTTGGGGTCTTGTGCCCAAGCGTTTTGAATGATATCAAATTCATTCATCGAAATATTATTTGGTCTGGCAAATCGTTTACCATTAGAAATGAAATCGGCGATATTCCAGACGTGTTGAAACCTCTCATCATCTTTTTTGAACACAAAATCCCATTGAAACACCTCAAACATAGTCATAGCAAATGAATAAACATCGGACGCTTTCTTGTATTTCTTTCTGTCTAACACCTCAGGCGCCATATACTTTGGTGTACCAATACCTTTAGTGAAAGTCATGTTAGTTTGCAGCATATTGATATTTCTTGATGATCCAAAGTCAGTCAATTTAGCATTGACTTTTTCATTTACATCAAGTGATAACACAAGAATGTTGTCTGGTTTAATGTCTCTGTGTAATATCCCATTCTCGTGTAAATACAGAATTCCTTTAGCTGCGTCTATCATCATTTTTACTCGCAACTTAGTCTCAATTTCTTCACTTCTTTTGTTTTTAATTAAGTCTTGTAAACTCCCAAATTGTGCAAATTCGGTGACCATGCAAATCTTGTTTGGTATAAAAACAGCGCCATAGAAGTGAATGATGTAATCACTTCTAAATTTGTCTAACATAGAAACTTCTTTCTCAAATTCAGCAATTGAACTTGTAGTGTTATTTGCTTCTTTCATCTTCTTAATAGCAACAACAGCGCCTTCATATTTTCCTTTGTAGACAATACCAAAAGACCCTTCCCCAAGTTTCTTCTCTTCAACAATATCATCGAAGTCAAGTCGCGTCGTTTTCTCTGTTTTAACAAACAAATTTATTGGGAAAGTCGCCATTTCCCCTGTTGATATATCCAAAGTAACAACAGCAATTTTGTCTTCCAAAGTAAGTGTACAATGGGGAGTTAAAAAGACTTCAAATTCACATGCAAATCCAGTCTTCAAAGTCACTATTTTTGGTTCTGTTCTGATTGTGTATTTCTCAGAAGAACTTTGTGTGGTGATTTGAACTTTTAGATTTCCTTTTTTTTGTTCCCAACACAAAGAAGTTCTTTACTCTCCGCTTCCACTGGAATAAATTCATTCGAGTCGTTGTAATTAATTTCAGTTTTGTTTGTTAATACCCCATTTTTGAGTACTTTCATTGAAACATTCGAACGTTTCATTTCAAACACGCAAATTCCTTTTTCTTGTTCTTTTTTGTGATTTCGGTGTATAACGATCAACGTTGTTATAATAATAATAAATAGTATTATTACTAATAATAATATACAAAGAATTGGAAGAACAACGACCAAGCCATAGTTCGTCTTTTTGTCGCATTGAGTGCCTTCTGTATTGACTTTGAAATTGTCAGCACATTGCATGCACTTGTTGTCTGATGCAGAAACACAATTTAAAATACTCGAGAAATGGACACACTGTGAGTCGACTAAAATATGTGTTACAACACAACTTGTGCACTCTGTCAGTGATGTGCAAAGTGTGCAATTGTCATCACACTTATCACACACATTTGTGTGTAAATAATACCCATCGCCACATATTAAACAGCCATAAGTACTCGAATTGACACATCCAATTAACTCACTTTGTGGTCTGCAGTATTTGTCGTTTGTATCAATACGATAGAATGTGTTGTTGCAGTCAATACAATTACCAAAGAAATCACACGTTGCACACGATTCATCGCATTTGTCACAACTTTTGCCATCGGTGGATCTTTTATAACCATCTTTGCAAATAGCACATCCATCGTAATTTGGCATCATCGCCAAACATGTTGTTATAATTTCTCCAAGAGTTGTGCAATTCCCATTTGTGTTTGGATATGAGTATTGGTCACACTTTGTGCAGAATGTCAGATTTGAGCAGTATGTGCAGGGGTACTCGCACTTCACACAAACACCATTTTCGATGTAATACGTGTCAGCACATCGCAAACACCCTTTTGAACTCTTTTCAATGCAATTCGACGCGTCGTTTTCTTCCAATTTCAATAACGTTTTGGTGCCACTTTTATAATTTTTTTGTTGTGTGTTTTGTAATTGATTTAAAATGAATTTAAAATAACTCTTTGTTGTGTTTTGTAGTGTGTTTGTCACACAAATGCCGTCGATTAAATTGTTGTTAATTTGACACTCAGCACAGTGTTCTCCAATAACAGACTGGCATGATGGGAATTGTGTTTCAATGAGTTCACACTTCTCAAGTGTTTTGTATTTGTCTGCTGAACACTTTTTGCACACATCATCAAACACAGCACAGTCCAAATTGTCAGTTGAGTAACACTTTCCATTTGATGTGATTGTCGTTGCATCACATTTAATGCAGATGTCTTTGTTTTGGATTTCACAATTTGCAATTGTGTTTTGTGTGCATGCGTAGTCTTCAATGTGGTGATTTGTGACGCATCCAACACAATCACTCGACTTGGTTATGCTGCATTTGACATCGGCATGACATTTGTATTTGCCATCAAACACATATGAATTTGCACACTTATAATCAATTTCATTGTTGCCGATTTGAACACAAACACTGCCACTCATACACTCCATTATTCCATTTGTTGTTGAAGAATAGCCAGTTTCTGCCAAATAGCAAAACGAGTTGTTTGAAATTGCGCAGTGCTGCTGTTGCAGTCCACACAGCTCGTCACTTTTGCATTGGAGACACTCACCAACACCACTCACAACTTTGGTGTATTTGCAGTTGTCTGTGATTTCTCCACAGTTTGCAGTTGTGATGATTTCTGTCGCACACACATCACACGTCGTTGTCGAGTGTCTTACGCAGTTGCTATCAACACCAATGCAACTTCCGTTTACAAGCAGACTGTTTTTGCATTGTATGCACGTTGCGTTCACCTGCCTCACACAGTTGTTGTCATTTAATATTGATGTGTTTGTGATGTAGTTGTAGTGAGTACCTTCAGTGTAGCCCAACACACACGAAGTGCAGTCGTTGCAGTTGTTGATGGCGTCATAACATTTCATGCAGCTTTGTGTGTCGATTTTGACTTCGCTTGCACCACACTTGTTGCACGATGTGCCGTTTGTCACAAAGTCGTCGCTGCAGGCAACACACACTTTTGCATTTCGTGAACACGTTTCACAATTGGGATCAATTGTGTTGCACAAGTAGCAGCTGTTGTCTTTATCATTTAAATAATAATTCTCTGCACATTCAACACACACTCTGTTGCTCTCATTTTCGTCTGAATCACACGAATTGCAATTTCCATTTGATGCACATGATGTACATTCACCTCCAACTTTCTTATAACCAGATAAACACGACGAGCACACACCACTCTCTCCGATGCAATTATCACAAACAACTGGACACGACATGCAACTGGCTGTCCCGCCTGTGGAATAGTAGCCATCATGACACAATGTACAACTTCCATCATCATAACCATATCCAGCCTTGCATGTTGTGCACTTTCCATTTGTTTTATCACACGACGCACAGTTTGTGTTGCATGCAAGACAGAGAGACTGCCCCTCCTCACTTTGGTATTTCATCTCTTCACAATCAACACATTCTATGCCATATGAGTATGTCCCACGTCGGCATATCTCACAGCTCTGCGAAGCGTTTAGTTGATACCCTGAATAGCACGTCAGACACACACCAGTTGTTTTGTCACAAGTGTTGCAAACAGATGAACATGCCTTACATCTGGTGGCACCTTCAAAGGAATAGTGCCCTTCAACACAACTTGTACAAGACGTCGCATTCTGTTCTGAATACGTTCCAGCAGCACACAACTTGCAGCTGTTTGTTGCTGTATTTGCATATTGCCCACCTTCACAGCCAACACACTCGCCTGTTGGTTGTAAGACATATCCACTTATGCAACTCAGACACTTCCCACTTGCAGCATCACAGTGATCACCACACAGACCATCACAATGTACACACTCAGAATACCCAATCAGACTGTAATACCCACCCTGACACGGCTTGCATTCAGTGCTCCCGCCTGTCGATGAATGCGTCCCATTCTCACACGGCTTGCATGCGTTATTGTGCTCGTAATACCCACTTGCACATATTGTACACACTTTGTTGTTGGTGGCATATCCAATTTGACACGATGTGCAATACCCATTCGTTGAATTGCATGTCACACACGTCGTGTCGCACTTTGTACATGAAATAGAACCACTTGATGAGTAATAGTTAGTTGGACACTTCACACACATATCGCCACTTGGATACGTCCCTGCCCGACATGGTGTGCATCTGCCATCCGTCAATATATAACCAGAATTACATGTTGTGCAGTTGCCATTGGTTTTATCACAACTACCACATGTAGAATCACAACTTAAACACGTAGAAGCACCACCAAGCGAGTAACTACCACTCCGACACACTGTGCATGAACTTGTTCCACCATTTGAAAAATACCCAGCAGCGCACAACAAGCAGCTACGACCATTGAAACTACACCCACCAACACAACTTGTGCAATTCCCATTTGTTTTATCGCAGGCCGCACACAACTCGTTACATTTTGTGCATTCGTCAACAGTTCCTTTAACTGAATAATATCCATCTTTACACTCTACACAATTTCCTTCACTTAGATAATACCCGGCTTCGCATTTTTCAGAGGATACACCAATCAATAGCAATTGAAGTAAATATAATAATTTACACATTAAAGTTTTTTATTGAATTTCTATTTTCTATTAAACGCGTGATAGTTGTATACATCACAAAAATTAATTAAAAATTTTTGGATTTTTCCAAAATATTAAAGATTTGTTACATTAAATTTTAATAGCTATAATATAGTTAAGTAAAACTTATTTTTAGTTAAATACCAATGTGGCTTGTTCTATATTTAAGTTATTCATTCAAATAAAAGGTTTTTTATGTTATTAGATTATAAATTCAGATATTATATAATTTATTATATTTATCCAAATAAAATCATTAATTTTCTCCTTTAGTTTTGAATCTTGAATGAAAAAAAAATATTTTTGGAATTTGTGAATCATTACATTGAAAAGGGTCTATTTGTCGCAATCTTATTTGTCGAACGAGTCTATTTATCGCACAACTGGCCAATCATTTGGGTTTACGACAATTAAATATTTTGTTCTCGAATTTGTATATTTTGTTGAATTTAAACCAAATTTTTACTTAAAAATAAAATTCTATATTAAAACGAACTTTCTGAAAAATTCTCTCAAATCCGACAAATAAATTATTTTTTGTGCTAAGATCTTGACAAATAGACCCTTTTCACTGTAACACATTTTTTAATGTTTTTATAATTTCTAAGAGTTTAAAAATTATGTTATTATCATTATTTTATTAATTTAATAATTAAATTATAATTATTAATTGTTATTCATAATTTATATAATAAACTATTATAATAAACTATTATAATAAAATGAGTCCGAAACCATATTTATTTTAAAAACGTTATTTATTAATATTCATCTGAAAAAAAAATTGGGATGTTTAATAAATATCACCATTATTTAAATTATTTTCCGATAACACAATTATAAACATTAATGGGGTTAAAGTAGTGAAACAAATCATTTCATTTTTTCTGTTTTTCAACAAATGGTTTTATTAATGTTGTTATTTACATAAAATAAAATGAAAATACTGTAAACAAACTTAGTTTGTTGGATAATTTTGTGAGGAATTTTGCTTTTAGTCGTAAGTACCTTTTCAACTTTTTAAGACACTTTTAAGAGCAAACTGAAGTTTACACAATAAACTATTTTTTACAAACAATTATTACTCAACAGCAGAATTATATTTGACTGTTCGAGTCTGCCAAGCGCAGTGTTTTTTTGATTATAATTTTTAATTTCAAGTTTTAATAAAAATTCGTTCAATAAAACATGTTAAATAAAAACATTGAAAAAAATTGAACTTAAAAAACAACCCAATGGAAAACGAGTTGAAAGCACTCTCAACACTTTGTACAAACACGGCAAAGGCGATGTCAGACCTCAATAAATTAAAAAAGGAATACGACTTTGTTGACGACAAGTCACTTGACATTGATCAACGCATTGAAAATGCAGAAAGACACTTCGACAGAGTTGATGAGGTATTTGAGAGAAAGAAAAATATCATAACATTGCTAAACACAATTGTCCTCGATTTGGATGACGCATCAAACAAAATCAAAGGCGAGTTAGCTCTATATTCAACACAGAGCGACAAAAGTTGTATGAAATATTCAATATCAGAATTGCACTTTATGAGGAGAAGTGCAAAATGGACATTAAACCACTTGAAGACCAAATTAACAGAATCATTCAAACAAAGAACACCAATATTGATCAAATTATGAAATCAGAAAAATTCATCAATGCAAAAAGACAACACGAAGAAAAAGAAGAAGCCTGGGAGAATGAAGCGCGAACGCGTAACACTTGAAGAAAAAGCTGGTCTTGAGAAGTTGACAGGGTACAAAATTACAAGTGTTGTGTTTGACTCAGACAAAGACGACTGGTCACTTAATAATTCTGTTTTCGATGAAAAAGTTATGAACAAAAGCAATTTGTGCTTTTTGGTAGAAGACACCAATCACAATAAGTTTGGTGGCGTGTACACTGGAAATATAAATGCTGTTGGTAAATATCTCAACCATGGCAGTTCTTACATCTTTTCACTTGTAAGAAATAGCACTTTAAATACAAGAAAATTCGACAAAAATAATATTAATATTATTATACCAAAAATTCAACCAATATATTATACCACAAAATTCAAATCCATTTCCACAAACATTTAGTAGTAATGATGCGAACAAACAAATACTTTTTGAATTCGGCAGTGATATAAGAATTTACAAAAATGGTGTTGATGGCAGTTGTTGCAAACCAAACAATTACACTGCCAAACAAAACGATTTAGTTGATAATGTCGTATTTACACCAAAGAGAGTTGTTGTTTACCAATTCAATTGAATTGTTTGACAATTTTTTTCTGTATAAATTTTATTTAGAATTGGAGGAAAAAATCCGGCTCGATAAAAAAATAGTAAATGAAATCAATTTAAACTAAACTATGAAAAAACACTTATTTTTTTACAAATAAACAACTCTAAAATTAAAATGTAAGTGTTTTTTATTATAATAATTTCCTTTCCTTATCAAGCAGGATTTTAACAATTAATATATAAATGTGTATTAGGACGTTCCAGTCATATTGTAAAAATCGCTGGAAAAACTAAAAATAAAAACCATTTTCCTATAAATAAAAACCAATTAAAATATAAGTTTATGAAAAGAAACTCAAAAATTTTAATGAAACATGGAGGAAAAATAATTTCTAATTGTTTTGAAACGGAGGTGGTTAATACATTAACAAGCGTTTTAAAAACATCTTGCGTTGTTAAACAAAAAGAAAAAACCCAAACCAAGTCATTACAAAAAGATATAACAACCCAAATGAAACCAAAGAAAGAAGTTAAACAAAAGAAAAAAAATGCCAATTAAAGATGTTTCAATGAATTGCGTTCTGAACTCTCAAAAATATATACAATTTGAAAAATTTCCATTTGAAAAAGAACACATTTTAACACTTGATGATGTTGCTTATATCAGAAGCACAACCCATACACCCTTAAAAAAACAAACCAAATTTGAATTGTTAAAAGAAGCTCAAAAACTGAAATTTTCAGAGATATCGAGCACAGAAAACGGTTCTGATATATATATAAAATCCAAAGAAATTGGAGATGTCATGAAGGGATTTATAATCAACGATATTCAAATGTTTGTAATGACAGGTGTTTCTATAATAGAATTCAACGAGCTATTCGAAATAATAACATCTTCAACATGCTCATTTAATATAAAACAAAATGGTTTTGAATTCACACCATTCACACTATCCACTTTAAAAACGCATGGTTCCAAAACAATATCAGAAAAATCAGAACTGTTTGTTTTGCTTGTGTTGTTGAGAACTGGTGTTAGTTATACATTATTGTTTACATTATTTCAATTGGAAAGATTTTCTCCTTATACAAAAAAGCTCAAACTTGAAAATGGTGAAGATGAACCATTTTCTTAGTGGAGAAAAAGGAATTTAAATCGAATGTCAACTTTTGTAAAATCTCATATAACACGTTTTTAAAGTGAATTTGGCGAAAAAATTGAAAACAATTTGATCAAAAGTGTCCAATCAAATTCAATGATTTATACTCCGTTTGCTCTAGGACAGCCGGCACTGGTAAGTCAAATATATCCACAGTCAATGTATGCATATACCGCTGTTGATTCTAAAAGTGTTATTTCAAAAAGCAAATGGGTCAATTATGTAACAGATGAGAAGAAAGTTATTAAAATAAGGGATGTTACAATGTTTTCCAAAAAGATTAACACAACTGGAGCCAAGTTTCAAGTTGTTGTTGTTAGAGATGGTTTCATAGTTGATTTTGCAACATCTGAAGGTTCAGTGAATGACAACAATCTGTTTCTTCATAATTATTCTGGTATTCCACCAGACAGTTACACTTTGGGAGATTTGGGTTATTATTCTAAAAACAGTGAATTGGTTTTTACTCCAATAAAAAATGTACATGATGATCCGTTGTCCAAATATGTTAATTTGTTTCATACGAAAATGCGTAATGTCGTCGAAAGAGTCTTTGCTAGATTTGGAGTTTACTGGAGATTTTTCAGGTTCCCTATGGATTTGGTTTTATTCACTTCAATTGTTTTGTTCAATTTGCATGCAGTGTATTTAATTATCATTTGACCAAAAGGCCACTTCAAAATAAAGAAAACAACGAATTAAAGTTCAAAAATTCACATTGGTTTGTTTGAATCTGAACAACAAAAACTATATGATGCATGTGATTTTGAAAACAGTGACATTAGAGAGTGTTTTTATTATAAAACAACACAATTGTTTGTAGATTCAAATAAAGAAGCGATCACAACCAAACAAACTTCGCCACAGACATTTGAATTAGTTGGCAACGTTAAAGAAATATACGAAAAAATGAATAGTCGATTGTTGGAAATGAATATGACAGCATTTAACACTGACGATCTTGATTATTTAGTGAGAAAATCAAAGAATGAAATGGAAAGTGCAATATTGTTTATGAATTATGTCAATTCACTTGTAAACAGAAAAAATATGGAATTTCAAAAAACAAGTCTCGAAACAAGTGTCGGAGTGAAAGAAGGCTGTTATGAGAAATCGATGATTATTGAAACTCTTCCCGATTGTTGTGTTGGGGAAGGTGATGTTATTGTTATTAACGATGCGGATCCCGAACGTTTTACAACAAAAATTACATCTGATGATGAATTTAACAGTGCTCAAGTTGAAGATAATACATATAAAATGTTATCAGGACTAAATTGTTTACTTCAGTTTTAACATCTTCAATGTTGAATGACATGATGGAAACTATTCAAATTATGACTGAAAATGATTTCTTCTATATTTTTGACAGTGGTTGTTGTCAAGGGGAAATGATATTTGAAAACAAGAGAAGGAGTTTGATAGATATAAAACTAAAAACTTATGTTTTTTCCCAATTTGTATCAACAGTCAAAGTGTTAAAGATGTCGGACATTGGATATTATTTGTTATTAAGAAAAGTGGAGAAGTGAGAGAAATTTATTTACTTGATTCAAACAAAGAATATACAAAACATTAT